CCTACTAACTACCCTTCTGAGCCCCGTTGTGGGCTCAACCATCATAGGCGCTCTTCATGTCGAAGGCTCGATTAAACTTGGCCAATGAGACATACCTTGCCATTGCATTGATGGGTCCCACAGTCGTAGCCGCTTTACAAGGGCTCTCTGACTCAACCTCGCGTCTCATGGATACTGCAAAAGCAATATTTTAGTGCGCTCAAACGTGTCAGGCAATTGATTTTGTCTTTAGTGGCTAAACCATCATTTGGCTTCACTGGCTCCGTGGCTCGACCTTGCCACCGGCACTGTCTGTCGTTACCTCTCTGTAGTTCCATCCTCAGCTATTTATACAGTAACAAATTCCAAGCCAGTTCTTGTTGGTGTTGTGTGAAGCGAAGATGGAGACTCGACTTACCATCTATCAGTTGATGAATCAATGGTCACTGACAACTTTCCCAACATCACCAGAATCAGCATCTGCCGCACCGTTTCCCTTTGTTCTTCTTAACCTCAATTTCATACTGCATGAGCCAATACCCACCCGCAGACTCACTGACAATTTACTCTTTTCTGCCCTCAAAGTCATAGCATCTAAGCCTTTTTATCCAGAGCAACTTACACAACTTGCGTCTCTAACAAAGTTTGCATATTTTGATGCACCGAACATTTAAACCGTTTCTTCTATTGAATCTCTCTTATTCTTATTTTTCTGTTGAAGCCATCATGAACCTGTGCTTTGACACCTATTTGTTTCAAGATGCGTCTCAATATGCAGCAGATGTCATAAGAAACAAATAATCACACGACATTCTATGTGGTTCAGCCAATTCGACCTACTTTTCCAGGGAGACCAACAAAAAATATATTAGTAATTGATGTTTTGACCAATCACTCAACATCTCTATAAGTATTTTTGTAATGTCCCGAAAATTCGATCCGATTTGGTGATTTTTTTGAAATGGTAATTTGGATGAAAAAATTTAAGAAATTGAAAAAAAAAAAAAGGGAAAATTTTGGTGGAAGATTTTTGTGTGGGGGACAATCATTGACTTTCTCTCCTCTCTCCCACTTTTCCCCTTCGGCAGACCACCTCACCCACTCCCACCAACTCCCCATCGTTTCCCGCACTTCTTCTTCTGCTTCTTCTTTTCTTTCTTCTTCGTTCTTTCTCCTTTCCGCTCGGCTCCTCCATTTTTGCTGCTCACCGCCGGCCTGTCCTCATCGGACCAGCCACCGCCGTTCGCCGCTCCTCTCCACCGTCGAGCCACTGCCACCCCAACTCCATCTCAGACCGTGTAGCACCGTCCCTGGCCCCCCGGAACCTCCCGTCGCCGGCCTGCTTTCCAGCCAAGGCGAGTGCACCTCTCGCCGGTCTCGCCCTCCGTCCGCCTCCGCCGCTTGCCGCCACTGTCCGGCACCCCAAACCACCACCACCAGCTGCCATTACGTCCTTAGATTAGCCCCCGAGTCGACCCGAGCAGCCCCGAACAACCACCTACAGCTGCTCCTCCGTCGCGCCGTCCACCGCCGTTCTCGCTCGTCGTTCGTCCCCGCCGTTGCAGCTGCTGGTCCGCTGCTGTCCAGCCACCTAGCCGACACCACCAGACACCATTTCACGCCCGGATCAGCCCCCAAGCAGGCCCGACCAGCCACCACAGCAGCCGCTCGTTTGCCGCGCTCGTTTGCCGCCGTTTGCCGTCCGCCAAGCCCGAACCGGAAACCACCGTGGACAGCCGCGCCACCGCCGTCGTCCTCGCGTTAACGCCGTAGTTAGACGAGTAAATTAACCCCTAATCCCATGTTTATGGTGTTAAACTTGCTTAGGGTAGTTTAATTTAGGTTTAGATTAAGTTAATGGTTATTTAAGTAAGTTTAGCGCATAAGTTATCTTTGGCGATAGGTTATCGTTCGAATGATAAGTTATCTTTGGATGTGGCGATAGGTTATTGAGAATTGGATGATAGGTTATCGGTGAAATTAGCAATAAATTATCGGGAATTGATTGATAGGTTATCGATAATTGTTCGATAAGTTATGACTATTTGCGTGATATGTTATTATCATGTTTGCGATAAGTTATCGCTATTTGATGATAAGTTATTGATTATTTTATTAAAGAAATTAATTTTCGAAATTAAATAATAATATTTTATTATTTTAAAAGAAAATAATAATAATTAAATAATAATTTCTGAAAATTAAATATTAGTATTTTCAAATGATTCTAATGCCGAATTGTGATCGTATATGTTTGGATGGTGAGTCCATAGTTGGATTTTACTGTATAAATTAGCGTATTTGGCTAAATGATTTGGATGATTATTTTCGGAATTAAGTATATTTTATTATTAAGTAAATAAATTTCGGATTTAAATATTAATATTTTAGTATTAAATAATTAATTTCCGAAATTAAATATGGATATTCTCGGACAAATTCTAATGTTACATTGTGGTTTATATGCTTGAGTTATGATGCTTATTCTACGAATGGGCATGTTGATTAGTTGGAGTAGCTAAATGAATTTAATGCCTTAAGGATGACAATTATGTTTTGAAATAAGGTTCACAAAGTCGATTGACCATTTGCATATGTGACCACTTGGCATTGTTCTGTGGCATTGATGTAAGCACGACTCATGCATGCATTGGCTAAATGAAAAGATAAGAATTGGCTTTGAATGTTCGAGTGCTCGTGTGGTCACATGTTGAAGCCGTCTTACTGGATACCGCTTGACGATGCCTGACTCATCGGGGACTGCTGTAGATCACGCCTGATTTGTCGGATGCCTGACTTATTGGGGATTGATGTAGATTGCGCCTGATTTGTCGGATGCCTGATTATCGAGGACTACTGTAGATTGCGCCTGATTTATCGGATGCCTAGTTTATCGGGGTTTACTGTAGATCGCGTCCGATTCATTAGATGCCTGATTTGTCGAGGTCTGCTGTAGATCGCGCTCGATTTATCGGATGCCTGATTTGTTGAGGTCTGCTGTAGATCGCGCTCGATTCATCGGATGTCCAGTCATCCCGGAAGATTGCCATCTCGCTGTGTATCGCTTGATGTTGCAGTGGATCTGAGGGGTCATGAGAAATTAAGAAATGGAACACGCATGTTGCATAGTGTTAGATTATGGAGTGAATATTGCTAGGCATGGTACGGGAAGTGCCCAAGTGGTTTTACCTTATAATCGAGACGCGCGAGTATGGACGCATGATGCATGGGAAATCTCTTTATCTGTTCCGAGTACGTGTTGTGCTGTGTGCATTGCTATGGCATTGTTGACCGATGTTATGCATGACACGTGTGCCAAAGCGAGGTAAGGATGTCTGTGATTGATTAATGACTTGTGTCCAGTGCATGGTCGCGTGATTAGGGACCCCCGAGGTGAGTTGGCCTTCTAAACGGGGCTTAGGCCGTTAATTTATTGAAACTTTCGTCTCATTTGTTGTTGTTAAGATTTTTCAGGCCCTTAGCATGTTGATGCACCCAATATGGTTCGGGTGTCTGGAAGCTGGCTTTTTGGGATTGACCTGTTGGTGAAGTAGATTGGCCCCAGCCTGGTATCTTTGTGTTAGCTTTTGTGGTAATGCCTGAAGTGGGCTTGTAAAAATGTTCCCAGGGGTTAATCAAGTAAATATTAAAAATGGTGTTGTTTAACTGTTGCGAATCATTTTCCTGTCTATCCCTATTTATTGTAGTTGTTCGGGTGATTATTGGAATCGCTTCCGCATATGTAATTAAAAGATAAAATGAAGGGTCGACGACGAGTCCTGGGACGTCGCATCGTGACGACCATAGTGGGATGTTGCGCGTCCGTAGGGTTCGGGGCGTGACAGTTTTACTCATTAAAGTCGTTACTCTAATTCAATGTTTAGCCCTTACAGTTTCTCTCACAGAAACTGACTCAATTTACATTGCGAAGTTGTAAACCCTTGACTTCCTCTTGTATCTTAACATTGTGCCTAAAAGGAGAACTCAAATTTATAGAAAAGCTAATGGAAACCCTACTCATAGGCCTCTGGAGGACTCATCCAAACAGAATGGTTATGTCTTGAGGCGGTTTGGTCCAGGCATCCAACCTAAGCCACGTCTAATGCCCGGATCAGTTTTCTCCCTAACATGACACCTGGTGGGCATCCTTTTCAATTTGACTTGATGCCAAACTTCGCTCTTCAGCATTTTGTGCGGTCTTTAGCCCTTTGTTCTTTGATCAACCATCTTATTATCAATTTTCTAGGTGTCCACACGTTAATTCGAGCCGTTAAAATAAGATAAGTGTAACTCCAAATGAAAACCCAAGACCTTCAAGTTCCTAACCGTGTCAATGATTTTAAACTTTCAAAGTCATCAATCCAAGTGGTCGTTTGGTCTGTCTTTTGGCTTTTGACCTTTAGGTTTGAGGTTTTGCTTTTTCTGTACTAAAAACAAAAAATTGTTAAAACATTAAGCTTTTTTCAAGATTACTACCTACTTGTGGAGAATAGGTTACCGACTTTTATGTGGAATTACAAACTTTATTTAAGTTAAATAGCAACATTTATTTTTTTTTCTTTTTGTAATTACTAGCTGTTCTAACAATCTACCAATATTTGGAGCTCATAACTCGTATTTGGTAAGTTTAACATGTTGGTTGGTGCTTGAATCAATTAAAATTTGATAAATTATTGAAGCCATTGGTAATCTGAAAAAATCAAATAAAAGTTGGTTGGTGACTTAAATTAAAATCTGTAACATTATACAATAATTAGTAACTTTTTTTTCAAATAATTAGCAACTTTAATAAGTCGGTACTTGATACATTTCCTGATTAGTCGGTAATGCCAAAGAATCAAATAATGCTAGTACTCTTGTAAAAGGGTTGGTAAGTTTCTTGGGACCGACTCTTTCAAAATTTTACTAGGCCGGAGCCCTAATCTCCCGCTCACGCCTCTCTCCCTCAATCAGCTCTCTGTCTAGGGTTTTTAGGCGGTCTCTCTCCCTCTGTTCCTCTCTCCAACCAATCGATCAACAGTATGGCTCATGTTTCCCCACCTCACCACCCCAAAGACTTCGTCCGTATATTGATTACTAAAGGTGCAGGACGCCTTGGAGCGAAGGTGGCAAGATTGGCCGCCGTTGGAGGCATGCTGGGGCAAAACCACCGTGTTCGGCTTCATTTGCTTTGTTGGATGATCTATCGGAGACCCTGGAAGGTGTGGTATCTACGGGCAACTATGAAGAAGCATGCCAAAGTATTTATTTTGCAATACTCATTGCACATTTTTGGAAAACGAACACCGATGTCAAGATTCAAAGCAATGGAGAAAAAATTTGGAATTTATAGAGAGATAGCTCAATCTTTAGGAGCTCATGCACACCATGAGTGCAAGGTTTTACTTGTCAGCCACCCAGCCAGCCTTGAGACAGTGATTTTCCAGCAATTCGCACCACAAATCCCTCTAGCAAACATTACGAGTCTTATTCAAGCCGATCATGACAGGGCGGTAGATCTTATCGCTGAAATGTTGCATGTTGCGAGGGAACGTATGCGAAACCTGATTATGTGGGGAATCAACTCATCTGTTCAGCATATGGACATTAATCACAACACGGTCGTCGATAACCTGGTCGGGCCTCCGGATGCTGTGCGCATCCGCCTCAATGATGATGCTTGGATAATGAATGAACTCAGGAGGAATATTTGAGAGCATGGAGACGATATCGACGGGGATCCTGCATGGGCTCCATACTATGCTAATAGTGCCGTGGAAATTTGCAGCCATATACACGACTGGTGGATGGGAACTCCACCCGAAACCTGGGTATCGGTCGGAATGATATCTAATGGGGCTTAATGGTGTGCCCAATAACTCCTTAGGATCCTTCCCAGCAATTTGTCAGGATGGTGTATGGGCCATTCAATAAGGTCTCCCCATTATGGATTTCATGAATGAAAGTGTGATCGAGACAAGAGCTAATTCTCATGCTTTTTCATTTGGAAGCAATGGCAGCTATGGCACAAACCCATCAGGATGGGTGGTGAAAGGAGTGTTGCAGCTGACGGACAGTGCTATTGTGAAAATGCAGAGATTTTGTTGGATTCCATGAACTCAAGGAAATTCCACTCTGTTGAAGTTTATTTGCAAACTGCTGATATCATCAACAGAGTGGAATTTCATCAACAGAGTGAAATTTCCTTGAGTTCATGGAATCCAACAAAATCTCTGCATTTTCACAATAGCACTGTCCGTCAGCTGCAACACTCCTTTCACCACCCATCCTGATGGGTTCGTGCCATAGCTGTCATTACTTCCAAATGAAAAGCATGAGAATTAGCTCTTGCCTCGATCACGCTTTCATTCATGAAATCTATAATGGGGAAACCTTCTTGAATGGCCCATACACCATCCTGGCAAATTGCTGGGAAAGATCCAAGGAGTTATTGGGCACACCATAGGCCCCATTAGATATCATTCCGACCAATACCCAGGTTTCGGGTGGAGTTCCCATCCACCAGTCGTGTATATGACTGCAAATTCCCACGGCACTATTAGCATAGTATGGAGCCCGTGCAGGATCCCCGTCGATATTGTATCCATGCTCTCAAATATTCCTCCTGAATTCATTCATTATCCAAGCATCATCGTTGAGGCGGATGCGCACAGCATCCGGAGGCCCGACCAGGTTGTCGACGACCGTGTTGTGATTAATGTCCGCATGCTGAACAGATGAGTTGATTCCCTACATAATCAGGTTTCGCAAACGTTCCCTCGCAACATGCAACATTTCAACGATAAGACCTACCGCCCTGTCATGATCGGCTCGAGTAAGACTCGTAATGTTTGCCAGAGGGATTTGTGGTGCGAATTGCTAGAAAATCACTGCCCCAAGGCTGGCTGGGTGGCTGACAAGTAAAACCTTGCACTAAGGGTGTGCATGAGCTCCTAAAGATTGAGCTATCTCTTTATAAATTCCAATTTTTTTCTCCATTGCTTTGAATCTTGACCTCGGTGTTCGTCTTCCAAAAATGTGCAATGAGTATTGTAAAATAAATACCTTGGCATGCTTCTTCATAGTTGCCCGTAGATACCACACCTTCCAGGGTCTCCGATAGATCATCCAACAAAGCAAATGAAGCCGAACACGGTGGTTTTGCCCCAGCATGCCTCCAACGGCGGCCAATCTTGCCACCTTCGCTCCAAGGCGTCCTGCACCTTTAGTAATCAATATACGGACGAAGTCTTTGGGGTGGTGAGGTGGGGAAACATGAGCCATACTGTTGATCGATTGGTTGGAGAGAGGAACAGAGGGAGAGAGACCGCCTAAAAACCCTAGACAAGAGCCGATGAGGAGAGAGGCGTGATGAGCGAGAGATTAAGGCTCCAAATTTAGTAAAATTTTGAAAGAGCCTGGTCCCAAGAAACTTACCAACCCTTTTACAAGAGTACTTGCATTATTTGATTCTTTGGCATTACCGACTAATCAGGAAATGTATCAAGAACCGACTTATTAAGGTTACTAATTATTTGAAAAAAAAAAGGTTACTAATTATTGTATAATGTTACAGATTTTAATTTAAGTCACCAACCAACTTTTATTTGATTTTTTCATATTACCAACGGCTTCAATAATTTATCAAATTTTAATTGATTCAAGCACCAACCAACGTGTTAAATTTACCAAATACGAGTTATGAGCTCCAAATATTGGTAGATTGTTAGAACAGCTAGTAATTACAAAAAGAAAAAAATAAATGTTGCTATTTAACTTAAATAAAGTTGTAATTCCACATAAAGTTTTCTGAGGCTTTAGTAGGACATGCACTTGCCAATTGCAAGGTAATTTTTTTTCCAAGAAAGGATGTGAACTGGAGGCCCGAGATGAACTGTGATTTGAGTCTTTTTTTTTTTAAGTGTGCACTTATATTTTAAGAACAGAAGGAGGGACCTTTCTTTATTTTTTTTTTGCAGATTTTGATCTTTAGCCACCCCGCCAGCATAGGGGCAAGGGTTGTTCATCATTTTGCACCGTTGCTACCTCTGGGAAACATCACTAGTCTGACGAGAGCAGACCAGGACATGGCTGCGTTTTTTATAGCTGACAGAATAGATATTGAGCCTGAGAATGTGCAAAATTTGATTTGTTGGGGAATCAATTCCTCTATACAACACGTGGACATCACTCATGGCTGGATTGAGCCCGATAATCAAGCTGTGTGTGCTAGAATTGGCAATGACAACTGGTGAGACAAATTGTCATTAAGTTGATTATTTACAGATTTAATACTAAAAATCTTTACTTGCTGAAGGGTGATGGTAGAATTGACCGGAGCGATTCGCAACTGTAGAATGGATATCCGGACAAAACCTACGAGGACTACGTATATAAACAATGTTGCTACTTCTCTATGCAATCACATTTGGGACGGGTACTCCGGAACTCCAGCGGTATTGCAGACTTTTTCCTTTCCTTTTACCCCAATTTAGTTCTGCTTGATTAGCACAACTTTTTATTCTAAATTTTTTTACTGAACTTTCTTAGGATCAATGGGTTTCCGTTGGGATATTTTCAACCGGCGCATACAATGTGCCCCAAAACGCATTTGCCTCCTTCCCAGCAACTTGTCAACCTTGGAGGAGGGTGGAACATCGTTGGAGGTACGGAAAATCTTATTTTGCCTTTAAAACCATTTGCTATATTATGGGCATGACCTTCGTGTCGTGTGTGGCCAGGTCTCCCCATTGTGGACTTCTTGTATATGAATGCGGTCCAAGCAAGAGAACATTATGTTTAATTTCATGAGGAAGCTCCGAAATAATGTTCTCTTGCTTGGACCGCATTCATATACATGAAGTCCACAATGGGGAGACCTGGCCACACACGACAAGAAGGTCATGCCCATAATACAGAAATTGGTTTTAAAGGCAAAATAAGATTTTCCGTACCTCCAACGATGTTCCACTCTCCTCCAAGGTTGGCAAGTTGCTGGGAAGGAGGCAAATGCGTTTTGGGGCACATTGTATGCGCCGGTTGAAAACATCCCAACGTCAACCCATTGATCCCGAGATAGTGCAGTAAAAAAATTTAGAATAAAAAGTGGTGCTAATCAAGCAGAACTAAATTGGGGTAAAAGGAAAGGAAAAAGTCTGCAATACCGCTGGAGTTTCGGAGCACCAGTCCCAAATGTGATTGCATATAGAAGTAGCAACATTGTTTATATACGCAGTCCTCAGAAGTCTTGTCCGGATATCCATTCCACAGTTTCGAATCGCTCCGGTCAATTCTACCATCACCCTTCAGCAAGTAAAGATTTTTAGTATTAAATCCGTAAATAATCAACTTAATGACAATTTGTCTCACCAGTTGTCATTGCCAATTCTAGCATGCACAGCTTGATTATTGGGCTCAATCCAACCATGAGTGATGTCCACGTGTTGTATAGAGGAAGTGATTCCCCAACAAATCAAATTTTGCACATTCTCAAGCTCAATATCTATTCTGTCAGCTATAAAAAACGCAGCCATGTCCTGGTCTGCTCTCGTCAGACTAGTGATGTTTCCCAGAGGTAGCAACGGTGCAAAATGATGAACAACCCTTGCCCCTATGCTGGCGGGGTGGCTAAAGATCAAAATCTGCAAAAAAAAAAATGAAAGAAAGTTCCCTCCTTCTGTTGTTAAAATATAAGTGCACACTAAAAGAAAAAGAAGACTCAAATCACAGTTCATCTCGAGCCTCCAGCTCACATCCTTTCTTGGAAAAAAAAAATTACCTTGCAATTGGCAAGTGCATGTCCTACCAAAGCCTCAGCCAGTAGAAAGTAAGACAAAAGTCCACATCTTGGGTTACAAGATATACCTGCATAGAACTGCATGAGGAATAGTTAAGCGGCAACTTTCTGAATGAAGAGGTGCACAAGGATCTTTCATGTCATAGGGCCATACTCTTAAGCTTCACCGACCGTGCATGGCAACTCCATAGATGCTGCTGCAACCAGCGAGGCTGCAAGTTCAGACTTGAGTTTACTAACAACAGATTGAGGATAGTTCTCATCATGTGGGCCATCATTAAGTCCAGCTGTGCACATCACCCGAGACCCAGAAGAGCGACATCTAGACCCGGATCTTCCACCAAGCCGTGACTGGTCCATGCCACCTGGCATAGGTTCAGATCTGATAGGTGAAACACTTGCTACCTCACCAAAAGCAGATCAAGTTTCAAGAGCTCCAGTACTTGGTGCAGTTTGAGGACCAGCTTGGTTCTGACCAACTAACCATCCATACACCGAAGGCAGCTCCCCCCTTGGGTCGCCAAAAGAGAAAATAAAAGTGCTTCCCTCTTCAGGTTGCACTTCCATATTATCCACACTGTTCATTGCAGATTGAGTTACTTCAGATTCCCTTACACCAGAGTAAAGATTAGTTCCCATCTCTTCATGCATGGAAGGAGAGCTGCTAGGTCAATTGGAGACAGATGGAGTTCATACTGCCCTGATGGCATTGAATATGCCGCAGGCGCTCTGAAGAAGATGAGTCTACCCTCTGCTGTTCGCTAAGACCAACATCCCCATCTGTGTGCGGCAAGGGTGCTCTTCCATCATCTCTATCAAAGGAAGGCCACATAAAAAATGGTCAAGGCATTAGAGCCAGTTCATCTGCCAACCTAGATCTTTCATTAGAATGACCATCTGCAAGATATAAAGTAGGAGGAGGGTAGTGCAAATAACCAGGAGAAGTTGCAAGGGTCATAGCTGAATCCGTCAAGTCAAGGTCATTGACCTGCAAATAGATAAGATGATAACATCAAGAGAAGCTATGGTGGAGGAAAGAAAGGTGCTGACCAAATAGACTTCACCTCAGCTCTTAAAAGAAATGGAGCTGCATGTGGATAGAAATGCACAGCCCTAAGAGATCGCGGTGTCCTCAAAACAATAGTTGGTGATGATATCTGTCCACTTCTATTGTAGTGCCAAATGTACAACTAATAAAGAAATTTAAGGTCAAAGCCCCTAAAAGTAATCCAAAGTTCACAATCCACAAAAATCCGCATTAAAAACCTCCACCTTGTGACCAGACGCAACAGCGAGAAGTTCTCCTCGGGCATAGAATGCAATGGATGCAATAGGACGGTCTGTAGAAACGACAAAGACACAAATAATCCTCTTAACAAGCCCCAACATTGACACAGTTTCTTAAACATATGGTTTCTTAAAGACATGGGAAGAAAAGGGAAATCAGAACGAGAACTACAAAAATTGCGAGATCCTATGCACTCTGCAATATTTGCATCCACAGGCGAACTTCATGATCCAAACTGCCACTTGCAAGGATCTCTGGGTACAAGGGGTGGAACCTTACCAGCAAATTTGAAATACCACTCAGACGAAGCTAAAAATACAGTATCAAATCGTTGCACGCAAGGAGCCTTATAACAGACGCGGCTTACCACCCACGGTGTCCTCCTATGACCCCTTAACACCTTTAAGCAACTCCCCATCTGAGAATCAATAAGTTTGATGGTATGATCTCCACTGCAATCAAGAAAATCAACTCCAACTTGATATATGATATATGCTCTGTTTTAATCTGGAATAAGAATCAATATTAATAGCGACCACCATTATACAAACATACAAGGATCTTCTACTCACTATGTAGAAGCAAGTATTTTTCCATCAGGGCTATATGCTGCAGCAATCGTCGATCTTGGAGGAGGCACAAGGGGACAACATTTGGCAGACAATGTTGCAGTGAGAATGCCACCACCCTGCCAAAATGAGCATGTTGAAAACAGTCGATAGAACATTGGCAAATTGCTGTATGCCATGGATTGCCATCAGGTGCAACAACATATGAAAAGTACATAAAAAAATATACCCAAACCCACATTCGCAAAAGAAAATCACAGTTTAGGTTTGAGAAAAAACCAAGAGATGAGACTTTGTCTTACATCTCTTACTGCTTCACAACTTTGCTGGAAGGGATAGAGCTGACACCCTGAGGCTTCTCCCCAAAACCTCTTTAAAGAATGTTTTCATCGTGGAGAGATCTCTCTTCGCAGTCAGAGTTTAAAGACATTGCCACTGCTGAAAAAAGACACATATATAAGGAGATACATGAACTAAGAAAACTTGGTATAATGACAATACATGTTGTTTCTGGTAATTTCCACTGATGAATTTAAGATTTGATAAATCATGGTTTGATGCAAAAGAAAGGTTCCCTCATTAATAAGAAACATGTAAGTACATCTTGTAGAACAAACCAAAAGGACAACTATCACGCTTAAAATAACTAGGCTTTGACCCTGGAAAATTTAGGGACTCTTTAGCAATATTTTATGTACTTTCTTCGAGAAATAAGCCAGGATGCCTACATTTGGAAACATGCAGATTAAATATATGGCCCTTGCTGCTTAAAATAGATCTAGGAAATCATGTGAGACTAATGAATTGAAAATTTCACAGCAAAATGCCTTTTTTCTTTTTCATTCAACCACAAATAATGGGTGGGGGATGTTTAAGAACTCCAATACTTAAACTCTCTTTTCGGGAGATATATGTTCCCATGTATCAAATTAATGAAGCAATGATTTCTTTTCCAAGGAAATCATATATCTAATTTGAGGTAGAAAGAGAACTGTAATTTCTTAATTCTTATTCACAAGGAGATATCTGCATGCATCTCTTGTCTCAATTTATAAAATTCTTTCAGAAGTGCGTCACTGTCTCAGACTATGCAAAACAAACAACAGATAGAAGAAAATATTTACAATCTTCATTTGATCTAAATGTTCATTTATATAACAAACCAGAAGAAACAGATAGCCATTGTCTACCAAAAATGAAAAAATAAGCAAGGGAGAAAAAGAAATTGACATTGATTAGAGGCCTAGACTTACCAAAAGACGTAGTACACCTTCAAACATTAGACTTTTCAAGCTACGTGTCTGGCAAAAAGAACAATGATTCTATACACTAGCAGAAGTCTTAGTGCAATGCAACTTATTTTTATTTACAACTCTGTTTTATGTCATAAATCATTGCAAATAAACGAACATTGCATTCCTATGACATTATTGTGATGAATACAAATTTTTCAAGTAGATTATCCTATGACGAATCAAGTAAAAGTAACACTTTCAAAGGGCCTATAAGCTTCTACAAATCAAAGTATATCTAAATTAATAAACTGCAAAAGTTAATGCTAAAGTCCATTAATGAGCACTCCATTCTACCCTCTTTTATAGTTGTATGATCAGATATTAGATACTTTCAACCTATCATCAATGCCGTGGACTAAATTTGGTGGAGCGGCAACCACTATTGGTTGATTTGAGACACAAATTTACACCTAGAGTTACTCGCATAAGAAACACTAAATTGAAACCCTCCTCCCCCCCCCCCCGCTCTCTCTCTCTCTCTCTCTCTCTCTCTCTCTCTCTGATCAATTGATTTGAGGTCCATGGCCTGAGAGAGGCCTAGCAATCGCTAGCAGAGCAAAGGCTATAATGACGGCTGCATGGATGGGGCAGTCTGAGAATATGTTTGGTGGAGCGGCAACCACTATTGGTTGATTTGAGACACAAATTTACACCTAGAGTTACTCGCATAAGAAACACTAAATTGAAACCCTCCCCACCCCCCCCCCCCCGCCCCGCTCTCTCTCTCTCTGTGATCAATTGATTTGAGGTCCATGGCCTGAGAGAGGCCTAGCAATCGCTAGCAGAGCAAAGGCTATAATGACGGCTGCATGGATGGGGCAGTCTGAGAATATGTTTGGTGGAGCGGCAACCACTATTGGTTGATTTGAGACACAAATTTACACCTAGAGTTACTCGCATAAGAAACACTAAATTGAAACCCTCCCCACCCCCCCCCCCCCCCCGCCCCGCTCTCTCTCTCTCTGTGATCAATTGATTTGAGGTCCATGGCCTGAGAGAGGCCTAGCAATCGCTAGCAGAGCAAAGGCTATAATGACGGCTGCATGGATGGGGCAGTCTGAGAATATGTGTTGGTCGTGTAGTTACACCACTGCCTGTGGGTGCGCGTTTGTGTGTGTGTGTGTGTGAGAGAGAGATAGAGAGAGATCGTCAAGGATGGTCATGACCTACGGTGGCAGTGAGCGAGGCGATGGCCGGTCTAAGATGGCGGAGGCTTAGCCCACATTAACAGATGAGAGGAGAGAGAAGGGGGGTTGACTATGTCTAGGTTTTCTTTCTTGAGTGTGGCTGTCATATCGTGACTGAGCCCACAAGTGTACAACAAAAAGAAATAAGAAATGAGTGCCGCCTGGCAAGCAGCAGCCAAAGCATCTATCCGAGTCCATTCTTGTGATAACAAGATTACAGACGATAAAAGAAGTAGCAATAGTCTCTTATTAGTACATCCGCTCCCTAGGATCTATCAAATTTGCAAAATGTTGGATATACATGCATGAGAGACCCTTTTAGACTCCTGTAACGCAATCAGATATTATCTTGTAGACCTAACCCCGCAATCGTGCACTCAAAAATCCTTTCTTTCCGGGATATCCCACGAGAACCAGTGGAACACGAAATAGGAGCAGTAATTCAACAAGAGACCCATGTCAACATGTAATTAAACTTATCGTACAATATTACTCAACTATAACAC